ATTAATGAGAGTTGTTTAGGTTATTTAAATCTATAATTTATGGCATTGAGTTTTGGCAGTTATGGGGCAATAAATACCCAAAATTTTTTCATGAATGAGGGTTGTTAGGAGTGTTTGATGGCCATTAATGGTGGTTTAATGGTTCATTAATGGCAATGTGAGTTAGAGGAAGCTAACAAACCCTTTAGGTGTCCTAGTACATGAAGCAATTGTGCTTTGAGAGTTTGGAAATATTGAATTAGATATTGAAAATTACTCTATACAAGGTATTGAAGATTGTTGTTGTGAATTAATGTAGAGTAATCACAATTTAGCACCATTCAAGCTTTGTAGAAGTTTTGGCAATGTGTATTTGAGAGATAAACCTTTGACCTTTCAAAGGTTTGAGATAATTGGCAAAAAATTTTCTTATATTTTTGTGTGTTAATTGATTTATTAATTTATACATTATAATTGAAGTATGTGAAGTTATTGAAATGTAAATGTGGCATAAATTATTTAAAAATCAAATACTATAGTTCTATGAAGTTTAATGATGTGATTTGTGTAGAGTTCAATGATATGGTTTGTGAAGCTCAATGATGTGCGTATAATGTGAAGTTCGATAAATGTGAGAAATGTGGATGTCACGCCATGAACTATGGGAGTAACTGGCACAAGATATGTGTATATAACCCATATCTCTTAGCCTTAAATTCAATAAATTTATAAATTAATACTTTAAACTTGTTGATAATAAAATTAGAAATTCTTACCATGTTTATGTTAACAAAAAAAGATTCATATGCTCTTTTTTTAAAAAAAAATTTAACAGAACTTAGAAAAATTTCTACAACAACATAATTTATAACAATTCAACAATAAGGAGCTTTGCCCCTCAACAACAAACGGTCAATGTATACAATAGGTCAAGATCCTATCTAAATTAATGAAAAACACATGAAACAAACTATAAAAAAATAATTAAGCTTATATTTAGACTAAGTGAAATTTGTCCAAAGAAATTCTTTTACTTCAGTTCAACGATAAAGCTCTCAATAATCAACAACAGATATAGATCCAGCTATTATCTGAAGCCAAAATATTTTCTAGTGAATAACATTCTAATTATAAAGATTTAAGAATAATGAAAACATAATAAAGAAAATGTGTGACTACTTTAAAAAAGTAATTTAGTACAATGTAAACACCGTGTTTCAAGATAAAATAAAAGAAAAAAATTCCATAACATATTGCCCATATGATCAACAATAATATATACATCCATCATTGTTACTCATTTTCAAATTGCATAAATACAAATATAAAATCAACATTCAAATCATGAGTCATTAGATTGGAAAAATGAAGATTGTAACAACCTTGTTAGTAAGAATCAAATAAAATCATCTATATAATAAATGTCTTAAAAATAAAAATTATGTTTTATTGGGTTTTTACCAGAACAGATAACAAATGTGAACACACAGTCCACGAGGATAAATAACCGAAGTGGCTTATGCCATGAATACAAACGTGGATACTAAGTTCATAAGGGTAAATAACCAAATGCAACCTAAGCCACAAAAACAAACATGGACACATAGCCCACAAGGGTAATACCAACCAAGCACAACCTAAGCTACAAAACAAATGTGAACACGTAGTCCACAAGATTAATACTAACCAAATGCAGTTCAAAGCCATTAAAACAATTGCAAGTGTTAGAGCCACGAATAACAAACATGAGAACAGAGCTCATGAAAATCAAACTAGCTAGTCATTGACTAAGATGTGCCAAGGGCTAACAAAACTGCTATTAGCAACTAGTATTATGTATATAGTGCCTTCAAAAACAATTTTTGAAACATGCGAGAAAGTAATCACTTTCAAAATATAAATCTATTTTCCCAATATCAAACTTGTATCAATCATTTAAAATATCAATCTTCTAAATAAGAAACTTCATAATTGTAATATAATCATCTTCACCAATTTTCATGATTATCGATCTTTCTCAAATAAAAGATTACTTGAACTTGTAAGAACATTTTCTTGAATCTAAAAAGTACATTTTAAAAGAGAATGTACATATACATACAAAAATTCATCTATCTTTCACAATACATATTATGACTTCACGAGCTCATGCAATTTGGTTAAGAAAAATGTTCAACACTTAAAATAGTACACATGATCTATTTAAGAAAATAATATTTTAATAAATAAAATTTTGTTAGTAAATTAATTGAGATGCTATCCACTTACCTGAAATGTTCCTAAATTCTAAAATTTACTCCTTACAACTTCTATTACGATTTGTCTTTCTGCAAACACCCTATGGGATACATAATATCATTTTTATAGACTATCAACAAGTTAAATAAACTCTCTCCCAATAATAACTCAAACATAATCACTATAATAATTAATTCCAAGACACCATAATTTGCATCCCAAAGTTTTCTAAAATTATACTATTACTTTATATAAATAATTTTCTAATCTACCCAATAATCATATATAAGCTTATGTTTCCAAGTCTTTTCTAACATTTACTTTTTCTCTCAGTTTTTACCAAACACATTGCATGAAACCATATTTAATCAATTTCATCAAGCTTCTTTCTATTTGAATCCCTTGCTTAAAAATCTATTATGTTTCCCAAGATCAATTTTAAGCTCGAAGAACTTAGAACCTAAATTCCATCTCTTACCTTTTATCAATTTCAGCTTAACATGAACTCCTTAAATGTCATTTCAGCTTGTTTTAATTTAAACCACATCCACTCTTCCTCAGCATGCATATCAATTGAAACAAGGAAGAACAAAATTTAACCAACCTACATAAATCACTACTAGAAAAAATCATATTAGTGACAGATAATTAGTGACAACTTTATATCCATCACTAATTATAGTGATTAGTGACAGATTAGTGATGGATAATAATATCAGCCACATTTCTTTTAAAAGTTTATAATTTGTGATGGATATAATTTGGTCACTAATTATCGGTCACTGAATTGTGACAGATGCTCAAAGTTGTCACAATTTTACAAAATAATCACAAAATTAGTGACTAATAAATAGTAACCTATGGATATCCATCACTAAGTGTGAAAGTATAATAACAATTAATTATTTATGTTAATATAAAATAGATAATTAATTTAATTGTATTGTTAAAATAAAAATATATTATTAATAAAGATATTAATGTTAAAAATAGGAAATAAAAATATATTTATGTTAAAATGATTTATTAATAATTGATAAAAATTTTCTTTTAAATGTTATAAATATTTTATACCAATTATGATTACTTTTTAGATGCATTTAGATGGGTAAAATATTAGGTTAATTTTACTAATATAATATAATAAAAAATTGAACATGAAAATTAATATAATTTCCGAGTCACCATCAGACCCTAAAACTAAAACCCTTCCCTCCTTTGCAATTCTATTATCACTAAACTTGTGCTTTGCTCCCGCCGTTCATCTCCAGTGCTCTGCTACTGATGCTCGAAGAAATCAGGTGCACAACAATTTCTCTTTCTCGCCTCACTCAGGTACGCTTTGCCTTTGACCCCCTTTGAGCACAATAAACATTTCTCTTGATTCAACATGAGAGTAGGTTTGAAAAAGGCTTTCTTAGATAGTCTAGGTTTGAAAAAAAAATTCACAGCCTTTTCCCCTGCCACTTTGCTTTTGTCTGTATTCTTGCTCTCATTATGATTTTCGTATTCTCAGTTGTTGAATATGCCTGAAGAATAGATTCTATTAGTGTTAGGACTCCTCTTTCGAGACTATGGGAAGGGATAATGAGATTATTTAATAGGTTGCCAAACACTACAATGAACTTTATTCCCTTTTCCTAAAAAGTTTTAGCTTTACTTCGGGAGACCCAAATTTATACAATAACTTGAATGGACCAATATAATAAAGCCACCAAGGAAAAGGGGATTTTGACTTTTCTTAGCTTACTTTGGAATGAAACCACATCAACTTGTTTTGTTTAATAATATTTTTATGGTGCTTAGTTTTGGAGTCTTTTGTTTTGTGGTGTGGGATTTATTGAAATTTAATTATATGCTCTGGTAGTCAATCGCAGGGTCAGTTCAACGATGGAAATTTTATTTTTAATGATTTGTATATTAATTTATATGTATTCCAAGGTGAAGGTTATGCATTGAATCTGCAATTGAAAGGCTAACAACTCGTTTTTCTTCTTTCAAAGCTGAGGTAATATCTTTATCATGCTTCTATTTCTCTGTTTTTTACCTTTCTCATTTTCTTACTTTTTCATTCCCATTGATTGTAATGCTTACTCTAGCTAGTGACCATCAGGGATGGAGAAGAAACAATCAAGTGAGATGGGGTTAAAACCAAAAAGTGTGTTTTGGCTTATAGTATTCTTGTCTTTAAATAATACTAAAAATGAACAATTAACTGTCAAGCTTTTTGTCCTCCTTGCTGTAGCTAAAAATTAATTATATGCTTCTAATTATATTATATTCATGTCCACTTAATCATAGCTTTTTCTTTTTTGATTAATTATATTCACCATATGCTTTTAACTTGATTTCTTTCTTTCTTTGTTCTTTTCATTTATGCAGTCCTTTGAAGTACATTGGTACAAATCTTGCAGCTTTGCATAACTTCATTATTATCAAGTAAGCCTAATTAATTAAGTTACCAAATTATACATGCAAGCAGTTTTTCAATGTTTTAAAAAAGGTCGTTTGATCATACATTTTTGCCATGAAATTTCATATTCATAGTTCTACATGTGTGCTATTTGATGTGCAAAATTTCCATTATTTTTAGAGCTCCTTGGTAGATTACAATTTAATGGTTTTTGGATGCTAGGCCATTTGATTGTCATCCCAGGAGTGTTATTTTTTTAACTATATTAAACTCTTTACTGGTTTTAGACTTAGTAAACCTTATTTCTTGAATTAGTTATGTTAATTAGTTATTTTGTCTTAAATAATTACATGGTATCATGTAGAAGACTATGAGGGATGATCGAATGTGGATGTATAGTCGGCGTGACGAAAGTGGAAAAGGACTCAACAAAAAGTTTATAGATGGTGTAGAACAATTTGTGGCATTTGTTCTTTCTCAACCAAATCTAGTCTCAAATGGCCAAATAAGGTGTCCGTGTTCAAAGTATGACAATAAGAAATTTTTAGAGTATGAAATCGTCAAGGTTCACCTTTATCGTCATGGTTTTGTCCCTAATTATGACCCATGGAGTTATCACGGGGAACCTTTACATTATGATGATGTTGATTATGAGGTTGCTAGAGATATTGAAGAAAGAGTTGAAGGTGCTAATGAAACAAGGGATGATGTTATCTTAGAAAACCTCATATTATACCATGATTTTAGATGCTGTTGGTCCTAGTGTCAATCCTAATACTAATATAGAGTTAGATGATCCTCCAAGCCATAATGCTCAAAAATTTTATGAGATGTTGGAAACTGCTAAAGAGCCACTGTATGAAGGGTGTAGTAGGCACACTCCATTATCAGCAATATCTAGATTGTTAAATATCAAATCTGAGTTTAACTTGAGTGAGAATTGCTATAATTGTATTTTACAATGGGTAAAAGAATTGTTGCCAAATGATGAAAAATTGCCTAAAGACTATTACAAGACTAAACAAATGGTAGGACAACTTGGTTTGAAGTATGAGAAAATAGATGTGTGTCGAAATGGTTGTATGCTGTACTATAAGGAGAACAAGGAAAGGAGGGAATGTTTGGTGTGTGGCCATGATCGCTTTAAATCTAGAAAAAGAGATAATGGAAGTAATAAAGACATACCGTACAAGGTGCTGCGTTATTTCCCATTGACTCCAAGATTACAAAGGCTTTATATGTCTTCCAAAACAGCAGAGCACATGGTATGGCATCATAAAACAAGGCGAGAGCCAGGGGTCATGTGTCATCCTTGTGATGGCGAGGCATGGAAACATTTTGATCAATGTTATCCCTCTTTTGCTTTAGAACCTCAAAATGTTAGGTTAGGCTTATCATTAGATGGGTTTACTCCATTTGGGCAATCTGCACATCCATATTCATGTTGGCCTGTAATTGTTACACCATATAATTTGCCCCCTGGGATGTGCATGAAAACCCCATATATGTTTCTTACTCTTATAATTCCTGGCCCAAAGAGCCCTGGGCAAAAAATTGATGTGTACTTGCAACCTTTAATTGATGAGTTGAAAGAATTGTGGGAGGTTGGTGCTTTAACCTATGACTCATATAAGAAGCAAAATTTTTATATGAGAGCTTCACTATTATGGACTATTAATGACTTCCCTGCTTATGGCATGTTATCCGGATGGAGTACGCGTGGAATTTTGTCATGCCCAATTTGTATGGAGTACAGTAAATCATTCTTCTTGGAAAAAGGAAAAAAGGTGACATTTTTTGATTGTCATCGTCAATTTTTGCCACTACAACATCCTTTTCGTCGAGATAAAAAGTCATTTTATAAAGGGTGTGATGAGAAATCTCCTATCTCTCAAAGATTTTCTAGTGATGACTTATGGGAAAAAGTTTGTTGCTTGCCAAGAATGATGGAGAAAAATGGAACTTACAAGTTGCCTGGGTTTGGCAGTCAACATAATTGGACTAAACGTTCTATATTTTGGGATTTGCCTTATTGGAATACCAACTTGATTCGCCATAATCTTGATGTTATGCATATTGAGAAGAATGTATTTGATAATATATTCAATACTGTTATGGATGTTAAAGGTAAGACGAAGGACAATGAAAAGGCTAGAGAGGACTTGTCTACTTATTGTAACCGACCAGAATTGGCATTGTTTAAGAGTGTTGGAAAGACAATGAAGCCAAAAGCAACATACACTTTGACAAAGCAACAAAGGAAGTTGGTATGTGAATGGATTAAAAATTTAAGACTTCCTGATGGACATGCTTCAAATTTGTCTAAATGTGTTGACATGGAAAATTGTAAATTGTTAGGGATGAAAAGTCATGATTGTCATGTATTTTTACAAAGATTGCTCCCAATTGCCTTTAAAGATTTATTACCTGAGGCTATTTGGAATGCCTTAACAGAAATAAGTCTATTCTTTAAAGACATATGCTCAACAATTATAACAGTGGAGCAAATGCAAAAGCTTGAAGAAAATATTGTTGTAACTATTTGCAAGTTAGAAAAGTTCTTTCCTCCAGCCTTCTTTGACTCCATGGAACATTTCCTATTCACTTACCTTATGAAGCAAGAGTTGGTGGACCCGTTCAGTATCGATGGATGTATCCATTTGAAAGGTAAATTATAAAATATATTTTGTGATTAAATTTACTTATTATATAAATGAATACTTAATAGAAAAATTATTGTGTAGGTTTTTGCATCATTTGAAGAAAAAAGTTAAAAATAAAGCTCACGTAGAAGGGTCAATTTCTGAAGCATACCTTGTAGAAGAAACATCTACATTCTGTGCTCATTACTTTGAACCTCATGTTCAAACAAAACTAAACAAAATTGATCGAAATGATGATCATAGTGAGGTTGACTGCCCAGATGGATGCCTTTCTATATTCAGACATCCTGGTCGCACAGCAGGAAAAGGAAAAACACAATTTTTGACAAATGATGAATTTAATGTAGCTTCTATATATGTTCTGCTTAATTGTGAGGAAATCCAACCATTTCTTAGGTAAATTCAATCACTTTAAGATATTTATGCATTTTTTAAATGACAATTTGCTTTACTAATGTTGGTAATCATTGCCATCTTGTAGAATATTTGAAGAACAACTTAGGAAAAGAATACCTAATGCAACCAATGAGGATGTAGAGACTAAGATAGATAGTGAATTTGCAAAGTGGTTGAAAGAATATGTAAGTATCATGAACATATATATTTTAATACATGCCTTTTTAGTTTGTGTGATATGCTTATTGACAAGTTTTATTATGCTTAGGTTTTTGACCCAAATAACAATGTAGATGATGTTCGTATAAAGGATCTAGCTTTTAGGCCATCTAGAGAAGTACATACATGGTCTCAATATTTTATCAATGGATATCGGTTTCACACACGTGCTTACAACTCATCAAAATCTACCATGAACTGTGGATTGTGCATTAAGGGAACAAATTATAATGAGTTTGAATATGACTATTATGGTTTGTTGGAAGAAGTGATAGAATTGCAATATTATAATCCAACCTCTAAGAAAACTAGAGCGGTATTGTTTAAGTGTGATTGGTTTGATCCCCAATTAAATAGGGGGTGCAAGGTTCATAGTCGTTATGGCCTAGTTGAGATCAATAAGAGAAAATGATTTTCAAAGTATGAACCATTTGCACTTGCTCAACAAGCTCAACAAGTTTATTTTGGAGAATATGCTAGTAAGAAGAGGGAGAGGGCTGATTGGTGGGCTATTTGTAAAATAAAAGCAAGGAGTATGATAAATGCACCAGAAGTAGCCTTCCAAGAAGATGATATGGGATTGCCATATGACACAAGCATGGATGCAATTAATAATCTTTGTGAAGGGGTAGCTGAAGAACTTGAAATACAAGAAAATGAGATGAGATTACAGTATGAAACAAATGATGTTGATGAACTAGAAAAGTTAGATGAGGAAGATGAGCTTGAAAATGAGGAATTTCAAACTGAAGAGGAAGATGAACTTAGTGAGAGTGATAGTATTGAAAGTGATGAATCAAATACTGAAAAGGAAGATGAAGCTTAGGTTTGTAAATGTTAGCATTATTTTATTGCATTTGATCATTATGACATTTTTATTGAATTATTGTTATTATAATTTTAACTTGCTTATTAGTATTATTTTTCTTCATTTTGAAATTTTTCTATCTATAAATGTTACAGGGATGCCAAGGGGTAAAGCAAAACATAGATCATTTGGAGTATCAAGAAGTGTAAGCATTCATCAGCAAAATGTTAGAGGTGGTACTGACATAGAGCAAGCACCTATAGAGAATGCATCCACAGAGCAAGAACCTATTGTACAACATGCACCTATGGAGGAAGCATCCATTGAGGAACCACCAACTGATCATGCAATTCAACAAGAGGCTAATACTGAAAATGAGACACATATTGAAAATGATATATCCACTTCCAATGAGACTCAACAAATCAAGTCAAATAGACAAAAAAATAAAGTCTCATATCGAAAGTTTGCAGATGGGCGCATATACTTAGAACCAAATAATACATCGTATAAATAAAATTGATAAGTTTTTCTAGTATCTATTTCTTTATTATTTTGATATTAAATCTAAATTTTGTTCATTTCATAGGTATCATCCTCATAATGCTGTGCGTATATTGTCATGTATAATAAAGAAGTTTTTTGGAGGACCATGGATTACTTGGGATAAAACACCATTTAAGGTTAAGCAACGTTGGTTTGGAGAGTTCAAGGTAAACATTATTATTATTATTATTTAAGTTCTTTTCAAAGTCATGCAAATTACTATTTAGTTGAAAATCTTGGTTATTCAAGTTTATCCTAATTTGTTCAATTTTGTCTTTGTATCTTAGAAAGTATATATTTGGGAGGACAGGTTTGATAATGAGATACATGGACTTTATGAGAAGTCTATTGGTCGAGGTTGCTTGAAAACTGTCCTTTATAAAGCAAGGAAGACATTCAAGGAAAAGGGAATATCACCTACTTGGATGAGTGAAGATAACTGGAAGGAACTTCAGCAAATTTGGACAGATCCCAAGTATCTAAAGAAATCTGAGACTAATTCAAAGAATAGGTTAAGCAGTAAGGATGGACTTGGCCCATCATGCCACTCTGGAGGATCAATAACATCTTCAGAGCATAAGAGAAAATATGTATTAATTCTACTAAGTTCCTTACAAATTTTACAATTAAACCTACTTGTTTGACATATTTGCATGTATGTAGGAGGAAGAGACAGGGGGTGAAGCTCGTCCATCTCAAGTGTTCTTGATGACTCACAAGAAATCAAATTCTGAAGCCTTTGTTGACAAGAAATCAAAAGCAATATGGGTAAGAGTATTGTATTAGAAAATTTCAAACATGTCAACTCTAAATTCAACTAACCAACTCCATAAATATATATTGCTTCAATTTGTGTTGCTTAGTTTAACGGAGGATTTGTGGTCTTGTTTGGTCTGATCTAGAAATGTAATTCCTTTCTATAAGCTCAAGTTTATTTTCGAGATTTTTTTATGTGCTTTGTTAATAAATGTCTGAATTTTGTTAATATATCATTAAGAGTATTTTATTTTCAGGATAAGTTTCAAAGTGAGATGAAAGAGTCTCTAGATGATATGTCAGATGTTGGAGCTATTGACAGCCATGCCTTGGAGAATTTGAGCAATGAGCAAGAGATGTCAATTTGGACGAAAGTTGTTGGTGGTCCTAAAAAAGGAAGAATATATGGTCTTGGATCAGAGGCTACTAACATTTATGTTGCATCTTCACAAGCTTCAAGCCATGCACCTCCCCCTAGTCAGGACTACATACAACAAATGGAACTTAAAATACAAGAAGAGGTAAAGAAAAGGGAAGCACTTGAAAAGGAATTGCATGAATTGCAAGTGGTTGTACAGCAACTAATAGCTACTCATGGATTATCTCATCCTTGTTTGGAGACTCCACAAAATGTTGATCCATCTATAGGATCCACCTCAGCTGCAAACAAAGATAATTGATCTTTGTTCTTATTCAACTAAATGCTTTATTTTGTACTTGTAAGACACTTTTTTTTATTAGTCTCTACTTTAACTTGTGACTGTTTTGAGAGACTTTCAATATTAATATCAATCTAATATCAAAAGCTTTTTTTATATTTGATTGTTGCTAATATTTTTATTTTAATAGGTAATTTTGTTAATAATGAATGAGAAAATAATGTGCACGTATATATATAGGAAAATACTGAATCAGTGACAAATTAGTGACAACCTGTGTCTTCACTGATTAGTGACGAACATTGTAATCACTAATTAGTGACGAACTATATGTGTCACTAATCAGTGACGGACTATGTTGGTTACTGATTAGTGATGGATATATCAACTTTAGTGACGTTCAGTTTGGTCACTATAAATACATATTTGTGACGGACATTTTATTTTAGTGATGGATATGCCCGTCACTATTAAGAAATATTAGTGACGGATATGATTAATTTAGTGACCGATTAATCTGTCACTAATTAGTAACGGATGACTATCCGTCACTTAAAAATTAGTGACGCTATATTAGCGACCATCTTAGTAACCGATATGTCCATCACTAATCACTGTATTAGTGACGGATTTTGGCTATTAGTGACGGATTTGGCCGTCACTAATATGGTTTTTTCTAGTAGTGAATATACTTGCACATAGCAAAGAAAGTAGGGAAAAATCCACACATACCCACACAAGCATATATACGAAAAGGAGGAAAAAAATTATAGACACATACAAGTATTGAGATGTAGGATAGAGGAAGGAGAAAGGAAGAGTCCATCGATTCTTACCACCACAAGTTGAACCACATTGACAGAAATTGAAAGCTTGCACATACACACATCAACACAAAAGGATAAAAATAAAGGATTGAGCCCACTAGCATCACCTTAGATAAAGAAAAATAGAAGAGGAAGAACATGTTTTATGACAAAGAGTCAAATCTTTTACCTTACAGCACCTACACACACAGATCTTAGCCACAAGGAAAGGAGAAGAACCATGTTGAGTCAAGGAAGAAATTAAACATAATGAAAAGCTTCCAAAAATTTCTCCTATGCTTTGAGAGGCTGCTCCCCTACCGTTAATGGGGAAAGGAATAAAGTACATAAGTTTTTGATTAGGAAATGACTTAACTACCCATGGTAAGACATAAAACAAATTGTGTTATTTTGGTAACTTCCCAATCATAACATTAAGAATAAAAATGAAATTTCCCTTAATAGCACAAAAGAAATCAAACATAATACAAACATAAACAATGTGCCCTACTAGACCACTAAGGTATACATTCATTATGTATATATAAATTTTTTTTTACATCTTAATAACATTTAAGTCAAAATATCAACAAGAACAAATAATTATTTTATTTATATTTCTTTCTTCTTCTTGTTTTTGTTTTTTAAGTTCACACTGACTTATCATTTAAGGACACAATAATTTTTTTTTGCAAATAAAAAATTAGAGGTCTAATTATCCTTTTTTTAAAATTATTTATTGCTTATTTTAAAATTTGTAAATTCACGAGTCATTATAGTTAAGTTCAATGAATGTTTATAAAGTAGGGTTCAATGATGTGATATTTTGATGGAGTTCAATGAAATTGTGAAATGTGGAGTTCCACGAATGTTCATACTTATTGTTCTACTTGTTTGATGAGAGACTATCCCATTGTGCAATAAGGGACTTAAACCTACTCTAGTTTCCACTTGTTCATCGAGGAAGCTAGTCTAGAGAGAATGACACTCCATAGTATGAGATTTGGGGAAAACTGTAATCTAAAAGTGAATTAAGCAACCTTGGCTGGGTAGCTTTTCATACATGAATGGCTAGGGTAGTTATATCACAAGGACGATCCCCATGTGTAATAGCCCATAGTTTTGTATCGAAAGCATAAGGAGAATATATTGGAGGTGTGATCATGCATATTATGATTAAAGTCACATGGTTGTCTATTTTGTGACCCATGTGATAAATTATTATGAAACACCAGTTTAGTATTATTTAAAATGTGAAAAGTGCTAGCATATTGTTATAGCATAAGATTGTGTAAATGAAGGATGAATTATGCTTGAAAAGTATTTTAGTGAATTGGTGTTTTCATATAAGCATGAAATTATATTGCTACTAGCATCTAAATTAGTTGACATGCATTAGTATAAGTTAGACATACCTTAGTTACTGTGTGGTTATACTCACCCCTCTCTCTTCAATATTATAAAAGCTAGCTCATTAAAATAAGATCAAGGGAAACAAACTAAGGCTTAGAATTTTGATCCTAAAACTATAGGCCTATCTTATTTTAGGTATTATATGTGTATAACCATTGATGATATTTCCAACTAGGAGTTTTCATGTACACCTACTTGCAATATGTGTTTGTCATTGTTACCATGTCTACAAAAGGGCTAAAATACTAATGCAAATATGAGATGGGTATTTCATGTGATTGATGATGATTAATGAATGATTTATGCTATTGAGGCTCGCCCTTATCTATTTTTACAATTATGGAGTAGAGCATTGAAAATGTGTTAGAAGTGTTAATTTTATGATGTGGTGTATTACACAGGTCCATTATAGTCTATTGAGTGTGGTCTAGTGTGTATTTTGGGCTTTTAGCACTTAAAATGAATATAAGACACATAAAATGTGTTTAAATTGTGAAAAATAGTTAGTTAAAAAATGGGTGTCCAATTTTTGACTGAGAAATAATTTAATTATGAAATTAATGTCATTAGATAGAGTTAGGAGAAAGCTTTATATAGATACCTAGATCGCCTCAATTAGATGTCAGATAGAGAAATAGGACTTATTAGAAGTTCGCCCTAGCTTGTCAAAAATGTAAAATGCGTAGCAATGCATTGTACAAAGGCAAACGTGCCGTAACGCACATGCAACAAGCCATGGCATACCTCTGCTTCTCTATATTATTTTGTTGTTTTCGACTATTTAGCAAATGCTTTAATCCTTTTTGGATTCCCATGCTCTTGCATACATCTTTAACTT